CGAGCGCGGGCCAATACATCATCGGCATCGCACACCCGGTAATCATTGAGGTCAGGTTGTACGCCTGAGCAGGTGTCTTGTAGTGACTAGATCCTAATACGAAATTCTAAATGTTGATCAGGCTGATCAGCTTGAATGTTATAGACTTGACTGCATTACTTAAAGTTTCTCTGTTCAAGTTTAAGTCCTATGTAGCTTAGTGTAAAAATTCCCTTGCAATATAGACGACGAGAATCTTCGAGAGTGGGTGAAATCTTATATTTAACATTCCAGAAGCAGCGGGAACACCAAGCATCCTGTCTTTGACCGGGCAGTTGCCTTTTTAATTCCTTAAAGACCTTCCATTGAAGGGATATCTTGGTAACTTTGCCAACCTAGTTGTTGGTGAAAATTATATGCGATTTGATATAGGTAATTATTCTATTTTCAAGACTTTATGTAATATATGGCAATCGACGATCCTTGGCCAGCTAAAAGAAGTTACGGGTTATGAACAGTGCTGAGCACAATCGCATCTATATACGATCACCTTGGCATAATTTCTTCGGTTAGCGTGTTAGAAACCATGATCTACTGTGATATATGTGTTTCCAACTTATCTTAAGACATAGAACTGCCTAGTGACCTTTAAAAATGTTGAAAGAAATGGCGTGAACCGACCAAGATCAAAATTCCTAGAAGGCTCGGGTCCCACGTAGAGAAGAGTTTCCAGTCATCGACGCGTTTGGGGCACAAGTAGACAGGGAATTTCACGTATGAAGCAAGGACTTGTTACAGCAAAGTCTCGTTTAGCATAAAAGGGAGAGATTCTGCCAGATTCTGGTTAAGCATTCTCTTCTAAAAAACAATGAGTTTTCCTGGTTTTCCAGGTTCATTCATATATAGTGCAAAAAAAGACAAGGTAAGTCGTCAACAAGGGCCTCTGATAACCAAGAAAATACAAAAACGGATAGATTGGTGGCTGAAAGAAGAGCAATCTCGCTAGGAAGACTCAGAATAAATGAGAATAGATATAAGCGACACCTCAACCTCAAAAGGGATGATAAGAGAATCCTGGCGTGCCTGGGAGGAATTCAAGGGGAGTACCAGTCTACATTCCACCAGCATGAAATTGATTGTTTTTACGGTCTGCTATAAAATGATCGAATATATGAATATATGAATATTGACCCCCCTCTCCCACTTAACGATTTTCCGCCGTCCTTGCTGCACGGTTTAGTCAGAAAGTTCGAAGCTGCAAAGTTATAGGGGTAGATAACGCGAGCTCGGAAAGGCTTATCGGCTTCTCCTCATCGGACGCAGGTTGCCTTGAGCCGTTCACTTTGAGATCCTGCCTGACCAATTGACAAAGGAGTTTATATGTATAAGCTTCAAGAGGTTTATTGCCCGACGTGGAAAACCGGACAAAATATATTCGGACAACGGAAAAATTTTTGTAGCGGCGGCGAAACGAGTACGAAAGATTTCAAAGGCCGCGTGTACTATAAACGTTATATTATAAAGGTATATGAATATATTGCTGAAGTGATCACAGCGAGCACGATAAGAATCCAAATATCTTATATTCTTTTTGAATTTCGGCCTTGGATTATACAATTACTTTGGGCTTCGACCAATCAGAACACGCGTTATATATACATGTTATTTTATAAAAGTTATTGATGTATACATAGAAAGAGTATGCGCGCTAACTACGTTACGCTGCTACTTTTACGGTACTAATTTGAGTTTATTTAATAATCCAATTTTAAAGCAGAATTCTTTTTTATAGGTTAGGCATTTTCAAAACCCACCTCAGTGCTATAACCAAATTGTTTATATAGAGGCAGAGTGGGAAACTGTACTTTTACTCTTTGTTGTTAGACTACGTATCTCAGATATGTAGCAATAGATACTATGATGCAACAACCACTACCAAGCATGCATATATACATTCGAGTTTAGAATTGAGCTTTTCTACATGTTTGTTACAAGCATGCATCTGCATACTTTCATTTAAAAATTACCGTGCCGTGTTCATCCTTAAAGTGCATATCAACCAATTTTTTTTATTTCATAAATGGGAAGTATAGGTGGCTAATAATGAGGATTCGTTTTGGTTTTTGATGATTTTATATTTTTTCATGTCTTTTTCTGACCAAATACTGCGAGATTGTGAATGTTGACCGTCAGTTAAAGGATAAGCGGAAAACTGGTACGAGTGACGTAGCGCGAGGAACCCGTGTTAAGCTTCGCGTACCAATATACTATAAATACGGTATTGCAAAGACTTGTATACGATAAATTTTAACTGATAATACTACATCAACAATGTCTAAAACATCCCCAGACTCTGAAAATGACTCTATTCCGGATGATAATTCAGAATATAACTATTATCCGGGTAAATATACAATTATTGAAACGGAGATATTAAGTGGATTTGGAGGGTTTCAACTCGATACTTTACGCGACGATGCTGCTTTGTCCGTGAACTCTGGCTATTTCGACTTTGTTCACCTGATGTAGGAGCGCTCGTGATTTTGTGAATTGTAGGAACACCATCTTTTTTCAACACTGGTCGATTTACGAAAGTCGATCCAGGAATTGTAATGAACGGACTTTCAAAATCCTCGCTCCGAAAGTGCTGCGAGCAAAGTCTGGAATTCGCTGTTGGAGATTATTTCGCCCGCTTTGTCTGTACAAAAGTAACCCAAATTCGCCGTCGCTTTCTGTCTAAATCGTTGTTTCCAGGGAATTTATGAAGACCAATGTTGTTTGAAGAGTCAGGAAAATTCGAACAACCACCAGCAACACATCTATTGGGCATTTTGCCTCGTTTATAAGGCTTACCGAGAGTTAATTACACAGCACTTTGTGCGCAAGCAATACCGTGTGCAACTTTGTATTAAAAAAAAAACAGCAAGCACGGCAGGACTAAGGGTAAATACAAACTTGCCAAATGTATTTAACTTTTATAATTACCGTGCTAGCAAGTCGCAGTTTGTCATATTCTATTTGCGTGGGGGCATAATTTTGTGGTCGACCACAAACACAAACATCCCATGTAAACATCGCATCATATTACCTTCAGGAGCTTGCCTACAACTGTATAAATTATACAATCTACATGCGACCGTTTCGCGCACTCAGAATGTTCCTTTTGTTGTTTGCATAAACTGCGTCAGCTATATATTCATTTAAAATCGCAATTTTCGCATGTTCCTAGATTTATATATGGTGCGTGAACAGTACCGACTGTATCATTGTAAAGCTACGAAAAGTGAACGCTGTAGCTTCTAGCCTGCTTGTAGAGTGTATTCAAATTTGCGAAATATCGCAGGTCGATGACTTACTGAATTTATTTTGTTATGACTGTGAAAGCAAGTCACAGACTGTGCTATTTTATTTGTGTAGGGACTAGGGCATTCAATTTCACGGACGACCGCAAAAAACAAACCACGATGTATTAAACATGCATCATATCGACATCCGAGAGACCATCTAGAAATTTGCAATCTATAATTGCTGCCTTAAATGCGGTTTCACCTACATACATTGATTTCCTTTATTTATTTACATTAACTGCGTGCACTATACATTAAAATGCTCTCATGATGTTTCTAGGCATAAACTAAAAGAGTAGATCAAATCTCAAATTCGATAGTGGAGTATATTTCTAGATACAAATTCCAAATGAATGTTCCTCGCCGGTTCCTCGCGCTACGTCACTATACCCAGTCTTTTGAGATTTTAGTTTCCACGGCCAAAACAATATGGCGACCCAAAATCGCTATTTTCTATGCAATTTTGGCTTCCAAAATCTATCAAAAACGATGCATATCGAACTCGTTCATACAAATTAGGTATATTGGCCACCTATACTTCCAATTTATGAAATAAAAAAAATTGGTTGATATGCACTTTAATGGACAATTTCAGTCCAATTCAAAGCTCGGCCTTCAGTACGGCTGGGAAACGTAGCAAAAGTGGCGGAAAGTTTGGGCGCGAAATATAGTAAAAATATAGGCGTGCAAAATTGGAAAATTTTGTTTAAATAGAATTACTGCTGAAACTACTGATAGAGTAATTCACCCTCCCTCTCCTCTAGCAGCAAATATCAGGAGCAACCACCTTGAATCGCTTGGCCTACATTATTCATGCATGTATAATGTAAAACATGTATAATTTTGTTCCATATAAGTAGTGCCAATTAGGCATTCAAAGCATGATAAAATTTAGTATGCCAGAAATCGTGCATCTGCACGATTTTTTACTTTACTGTTTACTCGACTGGGCAGTATAACTTATTTCCACCAATCAAATTAGTAGTTGATTTCACGAAATCAAGGAGTTTTAGAAAATGGACCTGATGAAATCTGTGTGTCCCTGATGCTGATCACGACAAATCTACGACAAATATATGGCGAACCATGGATTTGGGAACAATAGCTTAATTCTGAGTTGACCTCAATCTCGTACCAGGTCCCATCGAGGCATGCAATGCATATAATGGAGAAATTTCGTTCCAGCTATCATAGTTGTTTCTAATAAAATAATTTATATTTGAAGAACATTTTTACAGTGTGGCGCATGCGCAGGAATTGGGCGCCTGACGTTTGACATCGATTAGGAAATATAGATGAAGAAATAAAAAAAAATTACATTTACTTTCTGTTCATTCGCCGCCACTCGATTTGAAAATGTAGGCTCCTGTAATTCGCGTGTAGTAACGGTAATTAGATGAACATGAAATGGAATTTGGTTTATACTATCAAGGGTCACGGGTGGCCAGGTGACCAGTTAAAATAATAATGCTGATAAATAAAGTCTGAGTGCTACTTATACCGGCCGAAAAGTGTAAGAGAAAAGTTTGCCTCTTCAAAGCAATGTGGAGAATGACATTGGCATTAAATCGTCGATCGAGCTTTAGGTTATTGGTTATTGCTAGTGGATATTTACAGCCCCCTTGCAAAGCGTCCTCAAACAACGGGTTCAAAAAGGTCGGGAAAACAATGCAATTGCTTTTTAGAATTTTCCAGTCTACGAATCATGACGCCAATTGGCCCGTGGTCAATATATTATAATGGTCAATGTTAATCGATCTTGAATGTACCTACAGTGCCTCTTAATGCAAGTATAAGAGTGAAAATCGGACAAAATATCGCGCGTTTCCGCTACGTAGATACATAATTGCAAAAAAATCAGTTTGGCCGTGTCTTGCCGTTTAAAACATGTTCGTTCATTGGTAGTTGAATATATACACACGGACAAGCATACTGATGAAGCTTGTGGTTTAAGATGTTTTGTCTGCATTATTAAATGAATTGAGATGCAGCTACTGCCAGCCGCTTCGCATCGCCGTAAAGAAAACATGTAAGTTGAAAACACGATGTGGAATGTCGAACAGCCAGAAATGATTCACAGCATTTACAAGCAGCAGGCAACCGTAGCTGGGGGACTCTATCGTTTGATTATATCAGTAGCTCTATACAGCCGACAGTGGGCTGTGCTGTGAAGCGATAAGAAAATTGTCATTGACTTATTGGTGTTCGCGATAAATAATGGGAATAAAATTGTCTTTGTGTAATATATAGCCGAACTACATCGGTACAGGCGCATTGCGAATCGAAAGAGGTAAGATTTTGACCCGTAGAACGCTTGTAAATCGTCATTCGTATCAGTAGAGCTCGGCTGCCATTGGTATATTGCTATGTTATGGCCGAGACGACATTTGTTCCCGGTAGTCTATCTGGAAGTAAAATAGCAGGGAATAGATCCCGAAGGCCACAAACTCAGCAAGCCGAACATACTGCATCAAGATCGTCGCTCTACGCACCGGTAGCGTGGGTTCGACGCTTCAGCGTCGAAGATAGCCTCAAAGTTGATAATGTACAGTTAATGCCCAGCACGGGGCTCTGTTCGCTCGGGACCACTCTGAAGACGCTGCACGTAATGGAGGTTGTGAGGAAAATCATCTTACAGCATTTGCAAAGATGTTCGACAGCCGCCTGTTGGCTGGGCTTCGTCGCCGCCGCACTGGCGGTCATCGACGTCGAAATCACACATCGCCTACATTTGAGGGCCGCCGAGCGGGGCGAGAGAATCTCCTCGTTGGATTTTGAAGAGCTGAGCGTAAGCGAGGTGGCGAGCGTTTTCATCAAATGCATCATCTCGCTGCTCACGCTCTTGATCTGCATCAATGTTTACTTAACATATGTGAGTATTTGCAAATTCAATATCGCCAGAAATCTCTTGCCGGATTCCGCGACCGTTTTCAACTCAAACTTGCTAGTCTATTATCTACTCGAGAGTTGCATGTGTCTGTTTCACGTGCCGCCTTTGGCCGACCGTTACTTGGGTATGCCTTACAAACTTCAATTGCTCGTCTTGATGAGGATGTACGTTATCGCAAGATACATGAAGGAACACAATCAATTCACCCGGAATAAAACGTGTCTCTTTTTAGCGTCTGTGACGCGAACCGAACTCTCGAATATGTTTCTATTTAAAACGTTTCTTAAAAGAATGCCGTTTCGCGTGATCGTCACTACGTATCTACTCAACATCTTTCTTGGGGCTTATATTCTATACGTCGTCGAGGAGAAGGATTCGTATCTCGTAAGTGAGCTTGTTTTATGTTAATATTATATTTTAATTTTGTGGACATGCTTTTGACAGCTTAAAACAAACAAGGGGGAGCCACACGACACTCGTGCTTTATTGGCAACCATAAGCCCCTACAGTCGGATATAGGTAGCCAAGCCGGCTAACTTGAACCCGACCGATACCGAGTTTTCACCAAGCTAACGCTTCGAACTGAACCATATCAGCTCGGAAGTCGCGCTGTTTAGATAATCTCATCTACGCAAGCCGGTACTGCTGTCCAGTTCGCACTGCAAGGAAGCCTAATTCTTACTGAAGGGCTCACTTTTCGCAATGTTAGGGCAAAAATATCCGGCCTCAGTGCACGTAAAATATATTAAACAAAGAACCAGAAATTGTCGGAAGGTAGCGAAATTGTGCGAGCCGACGAATATAGACAGCATTACGAAACACCACAGACAAATATTTATAAGTTATCCATATCGACTGAATCGCAAGTTTATCTACATTCGGCCCACTATTACAAAACCACTACAGAGCACCTCAGGCTAAAGTCGTGTAGACTATAGCATATATAGTCACTTATTATCAATAATACTTTGTCGATAATTCCGTAATTCATGATAAATTCGACTTCAAAAACAACAACGGCAAAGAAGTAGATCAACTACAGGCTATAGTATAGTCTACACGCCCGATGATATATATACTCGGCTTTGCTTCATGTCAAATTATGCTGCGGTTTTTTAAACTCTATACATATATATAATGATCGACAATCTACTCATTTTTGTTGCAATTTATACGACATTACGGCATTTTGTTTTGGTTGAAGTGTTGAATTGATTTCAAAATGACTTGGGTCTCCCGCCGAGCGAGCACAGCTGCGAGTCAAATGTCCTCAAAAGCGGCGCTGGATTGTCATATTAGGCATGTTTTAGCCTGCGCAACACTTGACACTCGAGGCGGGCGATGCAATATTATCTGCAATTTCAAAACATTATACAACCATATGTGGGATATATAACCACAAGCCCTAAGTATACACGAAGCACTTGCGAGCTTTGCAAGATAAACGGATAAATGATCTCTTTTCATAATGCATAGATATAGCTGTGACATATATCCAACTTAATTTGGCCGGACGAAGTCATGCTATTCCGAGAAAATACATATAGGGCTGAATATTTCTATTTTTCTCGTTAACACTTGCAATCTTTTCTTGCGATTTTATTCTTGCTGCATCTTGAAGCATGAAGCATGCACATGAGCGATTACTTATATGCATGAACGTTCTAAAGGGCTGTTTATACATGAGTCCGGTTACCCGAGATTAAACGGTGAGATGATTTTGTACTGAATTCCAAAATAAGTCCTTGTGAAGCGAAGAGAGTACTCGACTGCCAGGATCATGTTATATCCTCATTTCAAAACTTCCAAGTCACTTACGCGGCAGAATAGCCCCTTATTCATGCCTGAGTATTCTTTGTATTAGCATTTACAACTTCGATCTCCACTCATTCTCATCTATCAAAAGAGAAAATCGCAAACGGACCCTATGGGTGGAATCAAGATTTAATGCCCTGCTGTTGTTTTTTGACAGTTATTATAAATAATAAAACGCGACACGTATATCTTTCCTGAAATATGCAATGGAAAGACAAAAACTTTAAGTGCGTAGCTACTAAACCTGCATGCTTGCAATTTTTGCCTCGCTTATATACGCAAATAGCATACGCCCATTGGACACGTTTTTAATTTATTGGAAACATGCTTGTGTTTGGCCACTGATATGAAAACAAAGACTATACAGAGAGCGCATCTGCTCCGATATGCATATAAAGCGAAGCCAATAGTGGCTCACCCCAATCAACGTATTGTGGGGGTGGTCAGTATCCAAGGAGGTCTGCCACCACGTATATCAAGATTAAATAAAAAATTCAAGAAAAATGGTCTTAAAAAAAAACTTATTTAGACTCGATTGTTTTGCGCTGCATGAGAAATTTCAACGAATTTTCATATCTATCAGGGTTTCAGCATGAGAAATTTCTTTATTGCCTCAGTTATAGCTGTCTGTTTGGTGCTTTCTGTGATTCATAAACATATTTACATTTGTGTACATGCAAACACATATAAACACCGATTTGTGTCGTATTGGAAACTCTTTGAAAATTCCATTTCCCCTACTTCGATCAAGAAATAAAAGAAAGCCTGATAAATTCTTCATTACTGGCTATGAACAAATACTTGTCGTCTTGGAAATGAATTAATTCATTGTACTTCTATATCTGCGTTGCGATAAAATAGTCTCACTTTTATGCAACATATTATTTTTACATCAAAACGAGGCTTGACGGTAGAGACAATAGCATAATGTATATCCAGCATAAGTAAATCCAGCATAAGTATTTGTTGTAGAATTGTTAAATTTACATAATTTCCGTCAATTTTTTCTACTCGTAATAATTCGTCTGGGAAAAAATCTGCAGATTGGATTCGATACAATGGAAATGTTTATACAGTTCTAGTTGCTGGTGGTTTATATGTGGTGCATATTATAAGAACTTATCGTCAGTTACCATAGTTGAGGAAATAGTATTGTAATAACTATACATTTGCTTGTGTAATGACATTAATTCTCATGCATGTGTATAATTTTTGGACAGCACAATGCAGCTGCAAAATATATTGTCAATAGAACTTCACACGCCTATTTCTCAGTATGAAGTATAAACAGGTGCCACTGCTAACACTGGAGACATGCATACTTACCGATGTTTTCATATTACGACTTAATTATATGTTGCTGACCTGTCGTCAAGCAATCATATTGAGCGATTTTCAATTAACTGATAACACAAAAAACCGCATGTTGAAGTGTTCATCCGATAATCAAGATGCAAACAAGATATATATGCGATATATTGATGCATTTTCAGCAGTGTAGCCCACATAGCGTCTCTGCATGTATATCATTTTGCTTTCACCACAAAGTATATACCATGATCGTGTTGCTTCATTATTGCACACTTCAGAAGGTTATAGCCAGCCAAGACACCTGCGCAGAGATCATTAAAACTCTAAATCAATTACACCGCATGGTAAAAGTACATGCATGCATATATTCTTATTCTGACAAAAATTCCCCACCAGCTCGAGCAATAACTATATGCTAAATATAATAACAATGATAACAATAAATATGATCATACATGCTGGCTTGTAGACTTTTTACATATAAATAACCAGTATACATGGTGTGAGTTACGCGCGATGCATGGTCACCGCATGGTTAAAAGAGTTTGTGAAATACAGTTGCATTATCGTGCTATATTTATTTGACGCGGCCACTAAGTGCACACGCGTTGCATGCATGTACTTTAGTTTGTATCCGACCACTGCGATCTGTTCTTGCTTTCGTGTCCAGCATCCCTGGTGAAGGAACAGATAGTGCATTGCATTGTACAGTAACAATTGATTATATCCGCACCTATAATAATAACTTAAGAAAAACCTGAAATTGGATGGAATCACAAAAATTATACCTTTTATTTGTCCCAGTTAATTAATTTTTTTAATCTATTTACATTGTAAGCAAACGAGATTAAAGGTATAATAATATTAATGAATTAACATATTTGTTACCATGTATAGACGTGTGAAACCGTTGTAAGCAACATTACTTTAAATATACATGCAGATATCCTTAGTGCATTAAGCTCCAGAGAGCTCTGACATATATCGATCGAGATATTATTAGAATTAATATACTTGACACAGCAAGCTAATAATACACTACCAACGTTACCAACTCGAACACTGAACAACATGTCGTGCTGGGCTCCATGATATTATACCCCAGCATGCATGTTCCTGCAATTAGTCATGAATGCTGAGTCGTGAATGTGATATAATAATTGGAAATACCCATGTACCACCAGCTAAGAAGAAACGATTTCAGGCTGTGATATTGAAATACCATCGTTCACAATACGACGGGATGATTAATTACGTTTTACTGAGTTTAATCCAATTAGCCATGATAGTATTTAAGCTATCGTAACTTTTATTTGATTAAATATGTAAGTTAAAACCTTTTTTATTGACCGTGTTTCATGTGATGAACGCTTTCGATTAGAGCGATATTTTAGTTGCTATGCTCATGTTCTATACTTACTATACTGTATTATCTGTTTTGACACTTACTAGAAATAATATATTAAATGGGTAGGTGATTATTTTCAATGTTGTATTTTCAATGTAAATTTACAAAATGGTTATCCCAGAGATTTTTATGCACCATGAACCATCCACGTTTTCTCCAGAAGCGAATTGTGAGGTAGAATTTATCATGCATATATAACAATCAATTATAGTTAAGCTAGGCAAGCTTTAGCGAAATTAGGTTGGGTATAGTCTTGCAATGGTTGGATAAGGTAAAAAGTAGTTCGTCGAAAAAGGGTACCCGAGGGGTTGTTTTATTTAATTTCATTGGTTTCCTTAGCTACTAGTTCCATGCCCTACATAGTTTACGTGCAAAGTAATAGTAACAAAATAAATTTAGCTATCAAATGAAATATACGGAGTTCAAATTTCGACAACGTTTTAACAGTTGAAGAAGTTATCAAGTAAAGACAATGGAAAATAGCAATGGACCAAGTACAGAACCTTGAGCGAGGCCTCTTGCAAAGAAGAGCACATAACCTATAATATTAAATTGCATGCATGTTGATACGAATTGTTATGTATTTCACCGAAGAAAAGCCATCTTCCATTGTTTTTATCGTTCACAGTCATGCATGCTATTGCTTCGATTGTTATGCACACAATACGAAATCCAAATTGTCATTTTTTTGTCATTTTTCCACATATCTGATTATACTAACAAGTACAGTTATCATAACCATCAGTTTACAATTCAATACAATATCATAACCATTAGTAACCAAAATTTACAATTGCTTATTTATTTGCATGTGGATGCCGGTGCTCAAGCTTATATAGATTAGGAATCATCTTCCGATTTCTTTGCTTTAATAAATATCCAAAGCTTAGTACATAAAAGATTACGAATATTGTGTAACTTTAATACTGATAAACACGACAGGCGGCTTATTGGATTAAACTTTTTGAGTGTATGAGCACGGTTTTTTGTGTTGTTATGTCGTTGATTTTCAATTCTCTCTGTCAAATGCCACCAAAGGTCATTCACCGTTGAAATGAAGACTCGGGGATTTAATTTGCCCCCCGGTGAAACGCCTGCAAAACACGACTTCATTCAGAAAACAACAACTTGTTTATTCCAACAGTTGTTTTCTTGCGCAGAACTGCGCGTTTATTTTGTCACATTCAGAAGTAATTCAGTAACCTCGGTAGAAAAGTAGAGAAACCAGCCTGCAAACGTATAGAGTTCGGCTAACAAGAAATTGTGATGTGCATGCTAATTAACGGTTTATCTCATGCAGAAACAGAGAGGATAACGCAGTAGGATGACTGATCATAAAATTCAATTGGTAAAATTCCCAAACAACAGAGGATAAGATATCTATGTCAGTAAAATATACATAATGCAGCATGCACTCTCGTGCCTATAATACGACATTTATTTTTAGTTTTTTTATCAGTGTAATTTGCATGCATGTAAAATTAAAAATTCGTTAGTAAAAGTTTAAGTATATAAAATTTACTCTGAGCTCCACATCACACAATATACCGAGGAACGAAACAAGTTCCTCATTTTACAAAGCAATAACGCTTGTATTCTAAAAGCTTACTCACACTCAAACTCATTGAGTGGGTGATATCAATCTTCACATAAAATTCCCATGGTGGTATTTCCACTCAACAGTTCCTAAACTTGATTTTCAGTGTAACCTTGGATCTTTCCACTAATCAATACAAAACTTTCTCATTAATCAGTAATAACAGAATTTCAATGTCACACTCAATGAGTGCGAGTGTGAGTGAGCTTTTTGAATAAAGGCGTAAGTGTCGCAAAATACCGACCCCTAATGGAAACTTATAAAAAATGCAAACTTGTTGGGGAATACATCCATTAAATGATTTAAATCCCAATACCTATGATAATGGACCACCAAATTTTATACTTTACTACCTGCAGACATGCAATACCTGCAAGTCATGCAATCCTGTATAGGTATGCACATTGAGAAAGTTAGGGCCATATGCGGTTGAAAAAAGGTTGCAGCCTTAGTTGCGGCCGCCTTAAGGCTCGACCTCTTAGTTTCAACCCTAGCCTTATTGTAGCTACCGCTTGTGAACAATCGACGATTTTCACAAGTCCTTGTTGAATTGCTGAAGCCACGCACCACGCATTTACTCGCATAATTGGGACTACGTTACCTCCTGGAAATAAATGAAGGCAAAAACACCTTTAGGAGAATAAACTATAGTCCCTGTAGCTGATATGACGAACCAGACGAAATTTGTTTCTCGAATTTCCACTAATTAATCTTTTATATTCTGTGAATATATTAATGATACGAATTCAAGTGATCAGGCAGTATATACCAGCAATAGGCGAATAGTTTGACACACTTTCAATTGAAATTTTATTACTTGGAACATTCGAGATCCGATGTCCGACAGCTACGGTTGTATATCCTCTCAATAATAACCCGAAATGTATTAATGATTCAACAGTGATGTCTAGTCGAGCACAGCATGGGGCCGTTATTGCCTAATTGATGTTTAACTTTCGCGTTAAGACCTCTCTGTTACTTTTGAATGGGGTTTCAATAAAACATTTAATATGAATGCATTTTTGTACGCCTACACCTCTAGAATGCATTTTTGTACGCTCACACCTCTATTCGTCATCCTTGTTAAAAATTTACAAATTTATTTTCGTATACTCTGCTGCCATGCTTATATGAGAACATAGCTACACAGATATATGCATACAGGTTTTTTGTTTTGTATAGTGGTCCAACGTAGATGAATAGATTAGGTGCCACACTCCAACAGCCTCTAAATTTTCCCCCTTACTCTCTTGCCCACGTATCAATCATTGTTGCATGTGTCCCGATTTAGTTTGAAAATATGCCGAACTCGTGCATTCACTACGGTACATGCATCGCATATTCTCCGCAAAACTATATATAAGGTGGCGTTTCTGCAAGACACTTTTAAAACTCACAGCATGCTTTTAAAACACATGAAAGGGGAAGTAACACAGACAAATCTTCGTTACCTCTGGTTTTCCTGTATGTAGGGATTTCGCATTAAAGAAAAAAACTCGCAAACTAACTACAAATAGGGTCTCATTATACCCACAGCTAGTAGCGTAGTCAATCAGAAAACATATATAAAACCTGATAGGCTAATATAGTAGGTCAAGATATTTATCGATAACCAAAACCTAAAACGATCGTTGTAGACCGGATTGGTTTCAATTTACGGCACCCCAAATTAAAAGGGGATCCGGATATCCTAGCCAACAGTAACTAGCGAAAAACAAACAGCTCTAATTCATATTCATTTAGCGGCACATACCGAACCATGCACAATGGTCGTATACTCAGACGGTACAAAGAAAGCGTTCGTTCACATCGTGAACATTACATTATAGCTATATTCAAAAATAACCGTTGCTCTTATCTTTACGTTTCCTAGGATTCGACATGGATGGTTATCGTTACCATGACAACTCTTGGATATGGTGACGTAGTGCCGGTGACGTTGATTGGTCGATTAATTGCCGGATTAATGTCAGTTCTCGGTATCTTTCTGATGGCATTGTTGATTTCAGTTATACACGAGACATTGCAGCTAAGTCAGAGTGAGAAAAGAATCTTAGCTCATCTTGAAAATGCGGGTAAGGTTCATCTTTCAAGCTGCTAAACGGACTTTGCGACAACCTTTAATTTCATTTCTACGTTTTTATCCCATTTTGCAGCTCCGAATTAAGACATATCTTTCGATATTTAAATAAATCCTATTGTTTTACAGATTTCTTTAGCCTGCGTGCGAATAGTTTTTATCCTACTAGTTAGCACTTCACCAACACATACAGCGGAAAACCGACACACCATTACGTGTCTCGATCTCTGATTGATCCCTATTGAAATGTGTGATGTCACGTGAATGAAACCCAAGAGAACACCACCTACTCCTCAATGGACCACATGCATAATCGACGAACTTCTGATTTAGGTAACAAGAAGAGAAAAAATGATCACAGCTAAAAAGAGCATACTGAAATAGACTTTTTCGGTAATTACGTCACAACACTGTCGTTTTAAATTTAGAACCACCTTAAATGAGATGGATTTCAAGTTTTACTCTCACAAGCTATGTGCAAAGATGCAAAACCTCCTTCTATAACCCGTGCATGATAAATAATTTTTAATTTTGATTAATAAGTATGGAAATATTTCGTTTAAGGTGGTTCTAAATTTAAAACGTTGTGATGTTAAAATTTTTTGATGCAATTACCGAAAGGTCCATTAGTGTAATTGCCACGCTTGGCTGAAAAATATGAAGTAGTATGGAAAATATTCGCAAGCGAAGTAGGCAATTTTGAAAACTTTTGTATTACGGGCAGACTGTTTAGTTTAATTAATTTAATTACACTCTTTCGGCCATAATAATATATACCAAAGTATACAAAATTTTACCAACTTTTGCAGCCAAACTTGGCAAGTTTAGTATGCTTTTATTCGGAAAGTCTCTTTTTGTCGACCGAGTCAAAAGCTGGTCTATCAGTATGCAAGTGGTCCATTATCAATTGCAAAGCATACTGGGCCCAGAGGGTAAAAAATGTAGTAAAATGATGACGTAAGGGTTATCAACATTAACAATGAATATTTTATTGAAATCCTGACTGGTCTTAGATCACAACAATGAAAAGAAGACGGCAGCTGCGAAGTTGATCCAGAGTTACTGGAGATTTTACAGTTACATCAATAATAACCGTGAAAGGTTGGCAGAGAAACGCCTTCGTCAGGTCGTCCGTTTAAAAAAGCTGAAGAATCATTTGTATACAAATCTTCATAATTGGAGGGAACGAAAGAAAATTAATGGTATGAATAATTTAGGATTTGTGTGCAAGGCATTTGAGTAAGGTAGGACAAGGCTGCTTTCGAATACCGTATTTTCTCCCAAATTATTATCATTATCACAGTGAATGAGTACATACTCAACTTATAGGCACGTTTTGAAAAAGTCCCGTTTTAGTCGAATAGATATAATCACATGCAATTATTTATCAATTATTGGACGAGGTCGAGCAAAATATCGTGATTTGTCGGTGGCGAGCAGATCAATTATTTGCCGATGCCGAAGGCAGAGGCAAATAATTGATCTGCGAGCCACCGACAAATCACGATATTTTGTGAGAACCGAGTTCAATAATTGTTTTATCATTCACCACTCAATTTTCAATTCATTCACCACTCAATTTTCAATTTTGAGTTCGTTTTATCGGACAGTTCGGCAAAGCGAGTCGCCATTGTTTATAAAATTGACATTAATGCGCATGCTCAGAGTATTATTTGCAGCTGAGTGTTATTTGCACGCAGTTAACTGCAGGTAAATTAACCAATCAAAATTGAGAATACTATAAAGTGAATGATAAATGCAATTATATGCAACACCTGCGGTTACAAGCAATTTTTGAAAATATTTTTCGCATGATATGAAAATATAAAAGAAACGTCGGTTGCTTTTGTGCTGCTATACTCGTGCTTAAGCGCATTTTATTCCTGGTTGAACTATTTAAATACTACATGTTTCAAATTCCGCTAGTTTTTCGCGCGTTTCTTTGAGGAATGTTCAAGCAATGTCATTTATAGATTTTAGATAAACGAAAAGGTGTTTAATTTAGAGAATTTTGAAAATTTTATTCATGTTGTTCTTCTTCAAAATGTTTGAAGCTACAATCATAGAAAAATTTGCTGGGACAAGCATGGAAAAAAATTGAACACTTGAATTGTTATGGCAACGACTGCATACTTTTCCCAACAACTTTGCCAGGAAGCGGGGAATACGACTGAACATGCGAAAAAATAATTGATAGACCTAAAGTTCAGCCATTATAAATAACGTCCGCGTGTTTCTTGTCTATAGGATTGTAGGCTTAACAAATAGATAATATTGAACCGTTGTCTGTTCAGTTACACGGATGACGTCACTTTGTTTTGTTCTTATCACAAATCATGTCATCCGCGTATCCATAACTGAACAGACAACGTTTCAATGTTATCTATTTGTTTTATATTATATGATCGAAAAAATTCCGAAATTAAACACGCAGATAGTTTCCCCGAAACTTGGAAAATTGTCAAAGTAAAAATTTTGCAGATATCACGCGTACATGATCTATAGGATTGAGTCCGATTGACGAAATGTTATTGGCTAGATTAAGACACGTGCTAAAATGCGATTGGCTGACAAAACACGAGATTACTGATTAAATTCGATAAAAAGTTCTGTAAGGTCATTCCGTGCGTCTGTTCTCTTATAGATCATGGCTGTCGACCAATGAAATTGCTTGAATTCTTGACGTTAGTATATAATTTGAATTGTACAACATGCTTTCTGTTTTTGTTGATTAGCCGATCACTGGTACAAGGAGTTCATTGCTGATGACATCGCGATGATGGTGACTGACGTTGGTCGAGCCGTAGACAAGATCCAGTTTACACTCAACCGAATCGGGTATTCTCAAAAAAGGCAATCATCGATGCTTAGAAAAGATACTGTTAAAGAAAGCACAATTTACGAAGAGGAGGAGGTCAGTGTTTGTCATGAATTTTACAAGCGTGTGAGTACGTAGCAGAAGTTTTACACCGGCATTTGATTCTGAAATGCTGTAAAACCATAGTTGTTACTTGTTGAATCCGCGCATGGTGCTAAATCAGAAGTTTGCATAAATTGCAGATATAATCTAGTATTAGTGGGTTTTCTCAGAACCTAAGCATGCTAACTGATATCAGACTTTACTAATGAATGGCGAATTGCTGGTCAACGACGGTCATAACTATGGCCAACTGAAATGACTACTCCAAATATAATATCAACCACGACTAGAAGGCTTCAGGGGGGCTTTGAAGGAATACTTTTGCTTTACCAGGTATATCATATACCTAGATACAATTAAAATTTGAATTTTCTCAGCTAAAGATTATTGTATGAATGTATCGCACTGCATGGATGCATATTTTTTCGAGACAATACGATTTGACCCGAATTTACAACCAAACCTTACCCCTTGCTATCAAAATTTACACCCTAGTATTAAAAGCCGAATGTTAATCGAAATCCTGTGTCCCCCGAAATTACAATGCACACGTTATTTGTTTTTCAATTTGTGCGCGCATTATTGTTATTTAGGGAAATCAGAATCAGACGGGTGCTGACCAGAGGAAAAAAAGATCCCAATCGGATCCCAATCATGCTTCAATAAATCATGTTGGTTATCCAATTATTGATGATGCTAGCCAAGAAAACCATGGGTTACCTATAAAAATAATCCTTCCCCCAAATGGTATGCACGAAAGGATGTCAAATAACGATTCAAGAACTTTCCATGGCGAGACATCGCGCAAAGAAATTGAAATTAAACTCGAGTCTATGGAAAATTACTTGGATGGATTTTACACTAAAGCGAAGTCTGATGTGCGTGGCATTAGAAAATTGATCCAAGATGAAATGTATGAAACCTAAGAGCGTGAATTAAGCTCAGAAGTGTTGTATTGGAATAAATTAAATGTGGTGGTGCAGTCCTGGTGTTCGGAATGGATTGTTGACATTCTGGGTGAAGGTGCATTGTTGTTGATCGCAACAAATAACATTTATCCCGCGAATTGCGTCCAAAGACCGCTGGTTGAACAAAACTAGTGTTTGGTGAACAAAACGAGCAGTTTCCTGTCCCAACGCACAATGGAAAACCGGACACGTTAAGTGCGATAGATATTATGTGCAGTGCTTGTATACACCGAATGTTTTGAAGGCACGATAATTGCATGGTTCAGCCATGAGCCAGTATTCTCATGCAATTTATAACAGATCGAAAGATTATTGGATAGCATTGAAAATTGCTGAAACTTTTTGTTACGGACATTAAATTATACCCAAGATATTATGTTTACTGTACTTTAAAATGAATAAACAACCAATGGTAATCTGGTTGTCAATTTTGTTTATCTGCGAAAACCCTTAATTAATTCGTTTTGCATACAGCCTCATACAGCCGCTCGCGTAGCCAATCAGATTGCACGAAACGCTAAAACATGAATTCGGACCGCAAGAAACAAATAAATATATTGCAATACAGCACGAAGATAGTCAATTTGGTATCAGTACCCATATTATTATTGCTCAGGCTACAAATACATAAACGCCGGGGTGGGTCTGGCTGGAATTCGTCCGGTTTCCTAGTGTGAACACGAAGAACCGGTCCAATTTTTATCAATTTTTACGTGCGAATACCTGAACCGGACAAATTCGAGCACGCTCTCAAATTCTTCCGGTCCCATGTGTGAACATATAGTAGGCGGAATTTCTGAAAAGAAAATCAAGCGAAAAATTTCATTTGCTCGAAAAAATTTAGCCTTTCAATAGGTAATACTTGGCAGTAGGCAGGTGCACAGCCTCCGTAGACTGTAATCCTGTATCGGTATCACGAAAAAAAACTCCAAGTGGGATGTTTGTCTTGAAGTCATCATGTGCATATAATTATTATACCATGAGAAGAACGAAGTCAAGATTCAAAATACAGAAAGCGTTGGAATATATATAGTATAGTAAAACTTTAAATAAAAGTTCTCCATGCAGGGATGCTCGGGAAGTTCCGGGCAGTGCGGATGGGCACATTTATCATATCTTAGCGACCACACGGAGAAAATCCTAAGACTTAGAAATACAGACCGACTTGCAGATCTTCAGAGAATTATTGATATCCATAATACTATTAGCTGCATGTGAGTTTTAATACGAAAAGTGAGCTTTAAAATTAATGAATGGTGAGTGTATAGGATTTTGAATTATAAAATAAAATATATATGACGCGTGTTCTGATTGGTCGAAGCCCGTGTTTGGACCAGGCCATCCAGACACGGAAATTTAAAGTTTTAAAGAATTTTTTAATTTAAATTTAAATTCAGGCCTCGTCGTTGTTATTTTATAAAATAATTACCAGCGGCTCGTGTTTCGCGCGCTTTTCATTACTCTCGCAACATTCATCCATTAAGTAATTGTATATTATGCCGCAAAGGACACTAGCTTTCCCTCATAAGCCAGGACAGTTTGGGTTGCTGTCTCAAGTGCTTCCGCAGACTAGTTCCGACGCCCATGGAGTTCACCTCCTAGAAACAGAGGATCTAAGATTTTTCAAGACTAGAAACGTCCATAAACATTAATAAATGTTCACTCTTAGACTATAAGTCTAACTATGCTTTGTATGAATGTTAATTGCAACCGATTTAAATCGGCTAGGATCGACTACGCATCCATATTTAAAAAAGATTAGTGGCAGGCAGTAGGTGCATGATAGATCGACTGGCGAGTCAGCACAACACTGGTATGCGACTTAACTAAGATTAGCCTGTATTACTGTTGAGATAGTTTACAGAAGCACACTATGCATCACGAGGTTCGGCGAATTACGACATACTGTCAATGACATTGTGATTAACCTTCTGCATGCACGTCTTAATTTCTTTCACCAGTTGTAGTTACTGAATCATTCTCTGAATGAATTTTCAAAACAATTCCCAGAAGTGGCATCTTAGGAGCTATGAATTTCACGGTGTCCTAAGGAATCACGACCCAACAGGGCAATCATAGAATCACTAGATGCCCCCCACCTAGTTTCGCTTGGTCTTTAACACTCCCTGTCTCTGGTTCCCCTCAGTTCCTTGCCGCGCTTTCTCCCCTCCGCGGTTTGAAGCAGTTTTTAATTAAATGGCTGTCTACACTTAGCGAGCTCCGCCGTATTTCAGTGGGTTAGCACCTTGCCGTCCTGCGAGATTTTAATTTGCAAATATTGATTAAAAGTTTATCTTACGAGCTCGGTAATTGTTTATAAACTGGGCCCGTCAACCTTGCTTGACTGTATCAACATATTTTCGATAATAAAGGATTATCACCGGATGTATTTAATACTTTACTGAGGTCCTGTTTTGAACATTGTTCTTCGTTACTTCTTAGTTAAAAAAACTCGAAAGTGTCTCCTTTTTTCTTATTAAACTACGCTGTTCAGCTGCCAAAATCACAAACAATGCTAAAACTCCATGGTCGCGCGTGTGAACTTCGGCACTGTTACCATGGGAACAAGCCCAATTGCGAGTCTAAGCTTGTTTGCATACGTCATTTGACTGAAATTAACTGTTACTGCGTGTACTGCGAGAAAATCAATCTCCTATACTTTATAATAAAAACCAAACTCCTGTTTTCATTGAGAAAATGGCCTTTTGATCAACTCGGCAGCACCATGGAGCACTTTGTGACGAAAGGTCACTTGCCGGTGAGTAAGATGATATACGTTTGATCTTCATGCTATTTGTTTTTGCATTTGTTTGAAACCTTTTCATAGTAGACAAAAGGCCGGTTAAGCGAAACGAGTAATTGCTTTCTGCTACAAAACATCACTTTTGCGAATTAGTGTCAGATACCCGCTATGAATGCTACTGACTTCCCTATGCTGCAAGCAAAGGCAAAAATAAAAACCACTGCAACGAATATATTAGCTTGAATTACGCCATTTGCATGCTGAAATGCTGCCTTTTGCTACGTTCATCACAAACCCCTCTTCAAGTTTGTTTGTGTCATAAGTGCTTAAATTTGCTTATGAGTTATGTTAAATATGGTCTTGGGCAAAACAAGGATTAAAAGCAGATGTTAAATGAAATATTATTTCCAACGTATTTCCAGACTGTGTGCTCGGTAAAAAACCGCTGCCGATACATTTATATCTTCAAGATACGAAAAATGTTTCTTAAGTTAAAAAAGGATAACGTTTATGAAGAGTATTTAGGCTGATATACAAAATTATACACGAAGGTTCGATTTGTTTGACTACGTTAAGTTTTCTTTTCAAATGCATTTAATGACTTGTGTTTTCATGCAGCATTGCCATTGAACGAAAATGATACAGAAATTAGCGAGTGGTTTGAGAACTCGTCCGAGGCGCAAGTCACTGTTAGCCCGCGTGTTGGTTTTCGTCGGATTGCTGTGTTGCACCTCGATATTTCATTCTCTAACATCTAATGGAGTTCAGCATATCCGTTCAGGTAATACAGAATCCATACTCGTGTATGTTAATACTGTACTGTATTGTACAATCATATAATTAAGATTTAAGAATTAGGTAAAGCTTTTGACCCCTTTTCAAGGGACGCGAGGACGGGCACGGTGGGGAATTCGTTCGGTCCACTGCCACTGAACATTTAAAGCACTCAGTAATAAGTCCTTTTTTTACTCCTTCTTATCGACCTTGGTCTGGATGACCAAAATCTTTACATCAAAAGTAGATAAGCGGGTGTTATAGAATTCTACTTTTATTACCAAGGCAAAGCTTCTACTTTGAAACGTGATATTGGTCATAACTTATATAGCTTGAATTGCTAATTGCCATGTTGTCATTGAAGTCGAAGGCTTATCTTCTTCGATCTGCGGCTTCTGCAGCTGGTTCGGTTTGTATGTTGCTGCTATCCTCAGTATCGTCTATCGAATTTTCCATGACAGGATTACTGCCATAGCACTGACTATGGCTACGGCTACACGACAAAAGTGTCTGCTAAGGTAGTTGGATCCCCTGGGCCTGGGCGACCGGCGCTGTACTTATTAAAGCCAGTTCAAAGGCAAATTAAGCATCCAACCATTTAGTGAACATATATTTCTAAAGATATACGTTTTTGATGCCAATCCTAAGATCGGAAAATTTGTTGTAAAAGAGAGTAATTTTGAAAACCAATGTCAAAAGCAAAGGCTGGATAGTTTGACGAAATATTTTATGTCACGATACGAGTATATGCGTGTCTGTGCGATTTTTTACTGAAAGTGAAAATTGAATTTTTTTTACGCAGCCGCAGGTTATTTTAAAAGGCAACTTTAATATTTACTATTAAATCTTTTATTTAGCTCTCTCTGTCTAAACGATATTAAACGTCGGAATGTCGTTCACCGGGCTAGCCCGCGGATGCGATACGCAAATCTACCCCTCAAAGTTTCCAAAAACGTGCTGGTGGCGGTTGGATTCAACTACTAGAGATTAAATTTTTCAGAATTTTAAAAGAAACATGCATATCACGCATATTTCCGGCAAAGACTTCTATAGTAATTAAAATGTAGCCCAGGAGAGAGGCTGCATGCTCCAACGCTAATCGGACTTTGAGTATAGGGCGACTATATTTACCTTTCCGCACTTGGACGAATGATGACTGTTCGGTATACTGAAGTTATAACTAATGTCTTGCGCTTTGTTTTGACGCCGCATTTTTGTATCGTCGAATGCATCAAGACAATAGTTAATAAGATAAAAATTGAGGTTAACCATGCAGGCCTATTATCTATTGTCTTCTGAAGTTGCATTCGATGCGACATCTACACTGGACATAAAACAGTCTACATCGAATTTTCACGCCATTTACAGATACAATAACATAAAATCACTGCACATTACTGATTTGGTTAGAATTTTCCAGACTAAGGAGTAAGGTAAAATAAAATTCTGGCAAATCCACCAAATAGAAATATCCACCTCATAAATAATTAACGTCGGTAATATTTTAAAACCTAGCGTAATTTAGCTGAGGTGTAGTCTGTGGCTGCAAGTTCTTTGAAAACTTAGTGAAAAGATTCAATGATCATCATGCATTCATTTGTTATCGCGTGTTTTAGCTAAACGACGCGTTTGCAAGCTCTTTTACTGTAAGTTGCTGATATCGTTTAGCGTTTTCTGTCGCTGTACTTAATATATTATCGTCGTCGTTCTTTTGAAAGATACAAACTGTATGACTTTCGTTCGCCATTGCAGGAAAATCAACTTACACTGCAAGAAACTTGTTATCAACAAGCCAGTGGGAAACATGTGACTTTGAGACGGATTATTTACGTAATGAGTCTGATCCCCATAACAAGAACACAACACCAAACAAGGCTTATGGATGGATGGCGCTGCACATTTTATGTGTCATAATAATTTTTATAGGTAAATGGTTAATGAACTATTGAAAACGGTTTCTTTTACTACCAGTGTTGTTGGGAAACATCAGCGATTAATTGATACACCGGACGAAAAGCGTATTAAAAAAATGAAAGTTGGAGTCAGCAATTCTACATCTTGTAATTGTATAGAAGTAATTTCGAATTAGTGATGTCCCAACATCACTGTAAAATTTGGTCGATCCCAGACACAATTGATCTGTGTCTGTGTAAAACATAAGATGGCGAATACAGTTACCGAATAGAAAACAACCATATAGATATAGGGTGGTGGAATACGAGTCATATGACTTTGAATTAAACTTCAATGACTTCAATCTTTTTTGCTTTACAGCTCTAGCCATCATCTGTGATGATTTTTTCGTTCCGTCACTGGAAGCAATTTCGGAGAAACTCGATCTTTCCGAAGACGTTGCTGGTGCAACCTTCATGGCGGCTGGATCGTCGGCACCGGAGCTGTTTACATCCGTTGCTGGTGTTACTGCGGATAGCGATGTGGGAGTTGGCACCATTGTTGGGTACGTTTGCATTCATCCGCATCAGAATATTATGGTTAGGGAGAGACCCCACAACACAATTTAGGCAAAACGATTCTTGTATCCTATATGTCTCCCGGAGGGAAAGAACTGTGATAAATTGACTGCGGAGAACATCGTGATCTGCTGGGATTTCACAAAGGGAACTTTTGTCACAAAACGATGAGAGAATGAATTCCATGTCTGTGGAACAGTAAAACTTACGTAAAACGGATTTGCATTGACCTTTGTATTTGGGTTTTTAGGAGTGCAGTTTTCAATCTACTGGTTATTATAGCGTTAACAGCTGCCTTAACAACACAGGTAAAGACTTTACATGTAGCTATATGTGAATCAAAGTGTTTGCGGACTGACAGTACACGTGCATATAAATCTCCTACCCTGTGGCAAATTTACAACCAAGCTACTAATAAATTGTTATTATATTTGCTGCCCTTTTTTACTCCCTGAAATGTTTAAAAAAGGAGGAGAGCTATAGGTTTAACCGAGAAATGTGATATATACCTGATTTCCAAATAGTAACTCCAATTTATGCTTCAGGGCGTGCATTTCGGCCATATTCAGCCATCCTTATAGTATTAATTATGACTTTTCCTTCACAGACACTTCAGCTGGACTGGCGACCCTTGATTCGCGATTCAATCTGCTACGCTCTTTCCATAGCCGTATTTGTTCTCTTTGCGTGGGATGCAAAATTCGAATTTTACGAATCTGTAATACTACTGTCGCTGTACTTCATGTACATTTTGTTGATGAAATACAACAGCAATCTTATGGAATATTTAGAGGGATGGGGGTAAGTATATATTAGAGTCGGTTGCATGGAAGTTGTCTGTCAAGAGTTGTTCTGCTTGCGGATGCATCAAGTCGGTGCCCATAATTATATTAATCAATAAACCAACCAACACACCAAAATATTCAGAACAAGTCAACCGTAAAAAAATCTGATTGCTATTCGAGAAATTTTGGCATTAAATTATATATTAATATTTTGATACAACAACCTTCGGCATTCGGATGCGCAGTTGAGTCTTATATGCGCAGTCAAGTCTTATATGCGCAGTTGAGTCTTATATGCGCAGTTGAGTCTTATATGCGCAGTTGAGGTTATGCGCGCAGTTAAGTCTTATATGCGCAGTTGAGGTTATATGCGCAGTTGAGTCTTATATGCGCAGTTGAGTCTTATATGCGCAGTTAAGTCTTATATGCGCAGTTGAGGTTATGCGCGCAGTTAAGTCTTATATGCGCAGTTGAGGTTATATGCGCAGTTGAGTCTTATATGCACAGTTGAGTCTTATATGCGCAGTTGAGGTTATATGCATGTGCAAAAAAAGGGTCTAGCTTCAATTATTGCCACGTGTCTAGGAACAAGGTAGGCCGAGTTAGTCCCGAGGTTGTGGATATACCAACTACAGTTGAAACCGTTATTGAGATCAACGAAAAGGAACAAACTAACGAACCTCCAGAGGACAACCACAACAAAGATGCAACACCTCCACAAGGAAGACTTCCTCCCTTACAACCATTGAAGGTAGCTTATACGCTTTCAAGTATACTGCTGTAGAGGTCTTACCCGTTCACAAAATTTTTACAGCACAGCTTTTTGCTCATCGCTCACATGTGCCTGACATTAAAGAATCCATCCAGTAAACTGTGAATAAAAGCATCTGTTTCTTCAATTAGGTCGGCTTTGAAGGAACCAAATCGACCCACAGTATCGGTTCTGCAGGACATGGGACGCTTCCTCATTTTTCGCATTCTCACAAAGGAGAGATAGCTAGATCATTTGTAAGTATTTGGTGCAATGAAAAAGGCATAGAAGCAACCGTAGCTCAGAAATAGGTTTCTCCCAAACGAAAATGTAGATTATTTTGCCCTACTTCAACCTGTCAGCTTTGCATAGTTGCATGGAGAAATCTTAGGAAAATTTTTCCGAAGCAAGTAATTTGATTCCTCTTGAGTATTGAGAAAGAGCATTTCCAGTGCAAGGCTGCAAACTAAAATATTTCAAATACTTTATCGGTTCCAAGTGGATGTACGCTTATCTTTACCGTGCAGGTTAGGTAAATTGACATTGCATGGTAACATTTAATAGCAGAGATGCATTCCATAACCAATGCTTTTACACGCTCTTATATTTCTGCCAGAGGAATTGCCGGCAGCATACATGTTTATAAAAACGTACAAATGGTGAGAGGACCCAATGGACCGCTTAGCTTAGTAGCATAATAGACAAACTTATGATCGCCTGAATCAAAAGTTGGTCTATTATGCAATTCAATCAGTTTCAGTATCTCTGAGCCTGAGGAGAATATGGAACAGGAAGCGTAGCGAAGGTTGCCCGGCCACAATCCACACATTCTAAATAAGATTACAAATTCGAATTACAGAGACCGATTATTTAGTTTATGACATGTATTTCAATTTTTGATTCGAGAAGGCGGAAGGATCAGGCAGACGCAGACAGCTTAGAAGAGAAAGTAACATTTGAGAATTTGTTTCAGAATTTTAGAAAGAGAACATAAACTGACCAAGATTTATTTCATTGCTTTTATTTATGCGTCTTCTTCCTGCGGCATCTTCAATTTATCCGGAATAATCGTTTCTTCCATACGCTCCTTCGTTTGTGACCGGGTCTTAGATACGACCCAGAAGTGCCCGGAGGCTTGACATAGTTGCCCAGGTCGAGAAGGTAACCACTAATTCTGAACCTTTAATCCCTTCCTTATTCGAAAACAACTTGCTTGACGACGAAAAGATGCGAAGAAAGAGCTCCGTGGGAGGGCATTCTGCGTATCCGCAAGAGATGGTCAAGGTGAAATCCATCGCGGCCGGACACATCCACAGAGAGATGCGGCGGCTATCCGCCCAACATGAGAAAATCCATCACGATGACAGTAAGGAAAACGACGGAGACGTAGGTATGAGTTATGATGTCCACACAAATGTCCTCGATTCGCAACGCTTCGAAACAACCCCACAGAGACAGTTTTTCACTTGCTAATCCAGTAATTTACATGAAAATTGCTCGGTCAAAATCGTTTATAACCTCCTTAATACACGTATTTCTTAAGAAAAAGGACTGAATTAGAGGTTTTGAGACACAAATATTCTTCTGCGTTTGTTGCAATCATTTCAGCGTCAGCATGTTTCATCAGTGCCGTATGTTACTATGTAGCGCAGCTTTCGAGAAAATCACTGCACGGTATAACACTTAAATATGTGCAAATAATTGTTGATAGTTGATTTGGCCGGTCATTGCCTATTATTGATCATCTGCCATTTTGAACCCCTTTAGGCTGCATCTGCATGAGCTAGTTTTGATTTATTCATTCCTAATTCTCAAGAGAGATAACTCGGTTCCTTTTGTTCCAAACATTTGGGCCCATATTAGCATGCATGAAATAATTTATCAAATTTAGGCTTACAGTTCACTCAATCATGTATGTTCTCGCGAAAAACCAATATAGGTGAGTCCAGTGCCCATGGCGAAGAAGAAGCTGACTCGAAAATGCGAATTGTTCCTTGCCTTCCCGCCGTTAACGCAAATTTTCCAGAGAAAGGCGAAGGTGGTGGTTGCTTGGCTGGCATTCGTTACATAGTCGATTGGATCCTTTTCATCGTCTCGTTTCCGTTCTTATGTATGTTCACGTGGACAATACCAAGTTGCTCGGAGGCACACAACCGGAAGTACTTCCTCGTCTCGTTCTTGGCCTCAATTGTATGGATTGCTATCTTGAGCTTCGGCATGGTCACCCTGGTTGGACGAGTTGGCTGCATCTTAAATATTGATAAGTTTACAATGGGTTTGGTCGTTGTAGCAATTGGAACAAGCATTCCGGTGAGACATCAGGGCATTTTTTACTTTGCTGTAAAATTAAAACGGTTCTAATCAACTCGTTAATCAACTTTCAAATTTTGGAACAAGAAACGTAACAAAAATATTTTTCAGGAAAATTCTTGCGATTATCCGTTACACTATGCCACTGCACCATGCTGATATGGGAGAAAATTGTAGAAAGTTAGTTCAAGTAAAGCAATTAGGGCCTAAATAAGGGCATTTTGTTTTATAGGACGCACTAAGTTCTATCATCGTTGCGCGAGATGGTTTTGGCGATATGGCCGTTTCAAACGCCATTGGTTCCAATGTATTTGACATCGACTTAGGTATTGGTCTACCGTTTGTGATCAAATCTCTTATTGATGACCTTGGACCTATTCGACTTCTCAGCGATGCTGATCAGGTAACATTAACAAGGCTCATTATATTAATTTTACAACTCGCAATTTTTGCTACAATTTTTTCTTTTGACAAATGCGGATGAGTGAATTAGTCACGGATGTTCAAAGCATTCGTAAATTATTACTCGTTCACAGCTATTAAAAGAAGAAAATTGCACATAAAATCGCAGCAAAAATCACAAGTGTAAACAAGCCTTTAGAGGTGCAAAATTCGGAGTTGTAGAATGCATAAAATATACAAAGAATGAATATTAATAAACTTTCGCTTTAAAAGCAGGAAATTTATCAACCTTGAAAAATCGTTCAAAACATCTTACAGAACTCATAAATTCAAGTCTCACCCATGCTTTTAGTCTCCACACGAGAATGAGTTGCAGTATTAGGCTCCATAGTCTGTTTTCTTAGAAACATGAAATCATTTTTTATAGAAATTGTATGACAATGACGAGATGACACTTGTTCCACACGTGAAATTTGGTTTCATACTTCTAATAGTCTTGCTCATATGCCTCGGCGTATTCGGAGCGGTGAAGTTCCGTTTGAGTCGTACCGTGGGCATATCATTCTTCCTCATGTACATTCTGTTTGTATCATACGCCTACATACAGGATCTGCTGTGCGACCACGACTGCTAGCGACGAGGCTAAAATAATATGGATTGAAATTCTTGTAGCATATAATATGTATATTTTATGTACCTTCTGTACAGACAAAATGGGATATTTTTCTACCAATAAAGAACCTTTGAAATGCATTAAAAATGCCTGTAAAATTTGTTGCATATACGCATAGAATGAGACATATTGAACAGTACGTATAATCAAAGAAGGAGTCCGCAAGCCAATGCAGAATAAAAGGTACATTTTCAATTTTTATTCGTATATAAACAGCTTGCGTTTGATGTTTTGATATTTTGCATGGCAGAGATTCATTACATTCATAAAAATTTTACTGTAATGTATATATATATATATATATATATATATATATATATATATATATATATATATATATATATATATAATCTTGGATTTGTGCGTAGTAAACCAGAGTGCTCAATACAAGTAAATAGTAGAGCAAAAACACAAACAAATCAACAAAATATAATCATAAAATTGTATTTCATCGCTACACTGTGTTTCACGTACTAGTTTTAGTACGATCCTCAGGCGATAACTATTTACAACGGTTTACGCACACGCGTTTTTGATTGATTACGCGAGAGTTTTAACGTGCATGTTTGCGAGCGCAAACATGCACGTTAAAACTCTCGCGTAATCAATCAAAAACGCGTGTGCGTAAACCGTTGTAAATAGTTATCGCCTGAGGATCGTACTAAAACTAGTACGTGAAACACAGTGTAGCGATGAAATACAATTTTATGATTATATTTTGTTGATTTGTTTATATATATATATATATATATATAATATATTATTATATATATATATATATATTATATATTATAATATATATTATAATATATATTAATGTCATGAATTGGAACCAAACAGTTTTGAAAAAGATGTTGCATGAGTTTTGCACTTGTGACCTGTATACTGGGGTGAGTGTTAATAACAGTTACTACACAAGGTAACTCACTAAGTAGTATCTAAAACATTATACATTTTTATGCTTATTAGCCATTATTTAAATTGGTCAAAGTTAACTAATCGATTTAGAGAGAGATCCATGATGATTGGCTGAATTCCTTTTGCTGAAGCAGGAGCATATAGCCCGCGAGCCACCTTTCAGTCAATTTACACCACGTCATAAAGTTTGACATCGGACTTTTAGTGGATTATTTTCCCATCCAACCGCAACGATGAACTTCATATTATGTAATGTTGCTGTTTAACTAACTTCAGCTACTCGAAGATATGTATCGTCATTCTATTTCACCGACTTTCCCTTTCACCAGTGGATCCTTTTTGAGTACCATCTTTTTAGAAAGTGCGGATAATTTCCTTCTGTCCTGAACGTCATTACGTGTACACACATAGGAACAGAGGTACGCAAATAATTTTCAAGTGTTTGATAACTTTTTTTCCCTCATTGACTGCAGTTTCTTCATCCATCTGTTATTCTTCACGTCCTCCCGTTCATGCAACTACAGCACATAAAGCAGAAGCAAGTTTAACAGGTTTAAAAAGGATATAAAAGCATCAATAAAAAAATAGCTATCGAAGAAGAACCTATGGAAGAACGAAGTCTAAAACATGTTGTGAATATTGCATGCACGTGTAAATTGCAGCGAGTACAGTGTAAATAGATATAGAGTATGGATAACAACATATCCAACAATAGTTATCAAAAGATGCGTTATATGAATTACAAAAAGAAAACAGAGAAAATAATAAATTCTATACGCTCTCTCAGTGACACTCACTATCGATGCCATGACCCCACTTTCCTTTTCTGTCGATTGCACATGGTTGTCATTTGATTTGACATCAGTTATTCTTGATACATGATCACCGCTTTTCCCAAACATCGCATCTTCATGACTTCTTTCATGGGAATTAAGCGCCGAGTCACCATTTTCACCCTATATATTTGAAGTTATTAATTAGGTGTGCCGTTATTTGCTTAATACCGCATGATCTGCGAAAAAATAAAAGTGCTTGGCGAGATGAGAGATTGTAGCTTTATCCACACTATGGGGTTATATTTAATTTTTTACAAATAGTAAAGTTAATTTGCACCGCGAACTATATATATCAAACTATATGGTATATTTATGTAGCTATATAATATTTAGGTATATAATGTACTATTGTACAACTCTAATCACTAATGTGTAGTAGTAATGTATAAGTAGTGTGTGTTTATATATTATATATAACTAGCAATAATAAGTTCTGTTATCTATTATGCAACTGCGGTTATGATGCAAAAAAAGAGCACCTACTTTGCTTAAATTATTTGATACAAACGTTTCTGGAGCAAAACCCGCACTTTCGATTTTAGCAAGAGCATCAGCACTTGGAATGAAGGGTGGAGTGTCTTTAATGTCTGTATAAAAAAGTGTCGTGTAGTTGTTAAGATTTAAAATCACCATAAACGGGAGGACATGTCATATGCCAAGGACTAAGTAATTGCTGCTTGGGATGACCCACGCGTACATAACAAAAGATACTGTAAACGGACGTATACTCCATTTTAATGGCCTTCAGCTATACACATACCTACATAAATAGAGAGTACTACATGTACATACCATTATTGACATCTCTTTGGATATCTTTAGCAGAACCTTTGCCGCGGCTTGAGGACTAAAAAAATGCATGAGATTAATACATCGTCAAAAAAGAAGAAAGTACATTATCATATAGCTCACAGTCTTATCTATCATCTCATTTAATCTCAATATGCGTACTTCGTATATATACGTAATAGCTAATATCATTAATTTGGAACATTGTTTACTTGCATGTCTGCATTTACTGCATTTAATAACATGTCATTTCACAAATAAACCACCCTTTCCTGGTACCTTTAACCATAGACAATCCAAAAGACAATTTATTTGTCTTTTGGATTGTCTATGCTTTAACGTCATTTAACTTTTAAGTAATATTATTTTTTCATTCTACTTAATACACATAATGATGGATTCTAATAGCGTTAAGGCTGTTTTCCACTTACGCGTTTTTCATACGCACGTACACGCACGTAAAAGTCTAAATCCTTGTACATGCTACCTTTGAAAAAACCAAGTGAATAAATCGAAGGAACTTAGTTTTCTGCATATTCTAGTATGCATTAGTTGACCTAGATGTTAAATAATGAAAATTTAAAAGCATTTAAAAATTTCCGTACGTGTACGTGCGTATAAAAAACGCGTAAGTGGAAAGCAGCCTTTACTTTGCCACACGGCTCCATCGCCCCTTCAGCAATACTTAAGAATATAAAGAATTACCCTTGATCTTGATGACGACCTTGAAGCACTTGACACTTTTCTGGAAGGAAAACAGTGCACACTAGCTGAATGTATCACACGTCACGAAATATTGAATGTAGGCATCCGTATAAGCGTTAGAAAATTTCATGTCCAATTTTATATCTCAGTGTATACAGTATCATAATATTATTATGTACTTGTTTCCGAAAGTTATATAACGTAATGGCATCAAAGAGTAAATGTTACTTTCATACAACGAACAGGTCATCGAAGAATTTTGATTTCATTTGTTACATATAAATTCCTTTTTGATGCTGTGGCCTGTCTATTCAAAAGCTCCACTGTATCAGTTACAATCAGTACCTATCTCTACTTCTTCTTCGGCCGCTCCTGTGGGATGAACGTGATCTCCGTCCTTGAGATCTGCTTCTTGAACGACTCCGTGATCTGCGATGTCTATCTAGAAAGTTAAAAACAGAGTTTTTAATACATGTTTCGGATAACGACCATTTTTGTAAAATGATCGACACAGCACTAATAAAGTAAAAATGTTCTCGATAAAAGATTCGCAACTCAAAAACATGCGAGTACATATTAAACCGTAGGCGTTTAGCATCGCAGAACTGACAGATCTAATAGCAATGCCATTTACTGTATCAACCTCGTACCCAGGGACAGGGTCTTGTTAATGTACGACTAGTACATGCATCTTCGAAAGAAATTGAACGAAAAACACCTTATGACATGAAACGTGAACGTAAGGTAAAAAAATACAATTGCTTGCTCGATGTGAATCGCACAACCACCATCGAACTTTTCGTCGTTTTAGGTGCAAGAGTTTTCATTCTGAAATCCTTCTGAGACTGAGATAAACGAGCAATGACAATGTATGTAAATTCTGAGTTGCATTGAAAAACGAATTTAATGCTGTGGCGAATAGCTAAACGTTTGACAGCTGAACAGGAGACCAACAAATAATCAGCGAGGTTGGGCATACAGTATCATAGGAATCATAATAAATACTATTTGAACTAATAAAATTTAGCCCAGTTGCGCTGTGTGAGTTTGGTGACGTTTGGATTCCTATGACAGTACATCAAGTTTGAAAATATCAGAATTATTTAAACAAACCTAAATCCAAATACTAATTGACAATGATATATTTGGAAATTACTTGTAATTTTGTTAATTCTGTTTTGTTATCCTGAGGATCAAATGTGTAAGTATAGAGAGGTGAGGTAATTGTAATATTGTTAAAATTATTGCTATCTGAACTACCTCAGTTCATCTTAATCTCAAACTACCGAGAAAAGTATGAGACTATTCTAATAGGGATAAATCTCTTTGAGTTTCGAGCTTTGATAACAATTTGTTTGAGAATGAAAATAATAGATCATGTTGATAAAATTATTATCTTAAATGAAGAAGTCCACCTCAACATGAGTAAGATATGATATACATTTAATTCTGTATAAATTATTGTTGTAGTCAACTTCATCAACTGTAGGTTTTCTAAGATTTTTTCTTTTTATAATTCATCTTTTATCAAATTACACCATATAACGTTTTAAATCACATAACGTATGAAAATATTATTTTAAAGTTTGAAAAAGTACATATTTAGGAAGGTGAAAAAGGAGGATTTCCATTTTGGCATCTAAAAATACATATTATATTAACTTTGGCAGGCATTGCGGTGTATTTTGCGGGCTAAAAGATAAATTTGCCAGCCTGAGATAGATTTTAGCCCGCTGATCTAAGCAAATCAGAAGAATGACTAAAGTGTTCACTCAGTGGGCCAAAAACACATTTATGCTGCAAACATAAACTCTATTGCTATATTGCCAGCAAAAATCAACAGACATACAAATATTAATAAACCACATATATACTGTACATGGCACTGAGATTTTTGATACAATTAGTTGTGATTATTCAGCATGATTATAAAGATTATCAAGTTGCCCTTTTTAAGGTTGAAAATCTTTATTTATTGATCAGATTTTCTTCATTATTTTGAGAAATGTAAATGAATGGAGGATTCTTGTTTGCAAATTTAGTGACAGTCCAAGACAAAATCTGAAAAGATAATTATATACCTACATTTTTAGGTACAATGTTGCACTATAAAATATTTTCTTAAATTACCTGTACATAGCTGAATTCACTGTAATGGCAAACATAAATACAAATTTTAAAAACTTGTTCAATAGGTTGATAAATCTCATCTTGGAAAATGGATTTGTTCCATAGCTGTTTTGACCACCTCCTCTAGGTGTTAGCTTGTAAAAAAGGCTGTCTGTTCTTTCAAACATGACATGGCTTTTTATATATATATAAACACTGCCACTTCGGTATTTTATACAACTCAAGTTTGGCATTAGAAATTGACCAAAGTAGAAGATTTATACAAGCAGATATATCATGGCTGCATGTTTACATACATTTATAAATTGATGCTGACGACATGGAAATTTAAACAAAGTATTATACACTACAGTAACATTAAAATGAGAAAGTATTCTGTATTACTTTGTAGTAGTGGTAGTAGCCACGAATGTTGCATGTAAGAGATGCTAATCTTCCTAATGCAATCTGAGCAAATCGGAATAGTTTCATTTCCAACATATGGTGAAAATCTCAAGTACTTTCTGGGTGTTTTCCAATTCCACAATATTTAAAGCAAAACATTTTGTGATAGTTCCTAGTGCCAAGACTCCGCAAGAGAGAAAAAATAGCTGTATAATTTTAAATGTGACTGCTTAACAACATTAAAACTGCACATTTTACATGCACAATATGATATGAACTTGTTTTGACTTCTCATAAACAGTACTATGTAGCTTCATCTTGAATTCTTTCTTATAAATGCTTTCCAGTTAACTTTTGTTGCCGTAGGTTTTTAACTGGAGATTTTAAGGGTACATAACCCTCCCCCCCCAATCATGCAACAAGTCCCACTGGCAAAATAGTCTGTTGATGACCCAAATTTCATTGGTACTTAAAACCTTGGATGCATGTTCTAAATGCCTGTGTCTAAATTCAAACAATGGTCATAAGGCAGAACACAATGAACACAATGAGACCTGAGAGTCACGGTCACCAATAGACGATGTATCACTTATGTATGTATGTATGTCCGCCGCTGATGGATGGCGATCATATATAAAACTCTACCTACCCCTTCGTGACTTGCTACTTACGATCCAAACGATCCGATTTGAGGAAGCAATAATCAATAAAATAAAAAACACAATGATCAGAAGACTGCATATAACTTTATAATAAAAACCTCATTGCCAGCATGATTGCCCAGAGATCAGAAATGTGTATCAAACAACCTAGAGCTACGATGTTGCCTTCTGTGTCTGGAGCTTCTGCTGTCGTAACTGTCTCTGCTCCTTCGTCGCCCGCTGTCCCTGCTTCGTGATCTTCGCCGATAGTCCTTTCGCCGTCTTCCTGATGAACGACTCCGAGTTCTTGATCGGCTTCGCGAACGACGTCGCCTTTCATCGCGGTCTCTCCGCGATCTTCTTCGATCCTCGTCTGAACTGTACTTCCCCATGGTCGGAAAATTAATCTAATTTTTAATCAGGTTTACATGACTAGACACTTGCAAGAGTATCGCAAAGCTGTATACCAACGACAACCAAACTACAACTTTTCTCAAATTCAAGATGGCGTCACAGATGAGCTATATACAGATAAGAAACTTCTGTGTTTTGCTAATATAGCTCAGTATCCACGTGCACTGAGTGGCACTGCAGACTCGTTCCCAGTCGTTATTTTAAAACCAGCAGATGCACGAATTTATAGTTATTCGTTATTTTAAAACCAGCAGATGCACGAATTTATAGTTATATATATTATATATATATATATATATTATATATTATATATATTATATATTATAATATATATATATATATATATATACATACATATATGTATATCGGTCAGTGGCAAAGGAAGATGCGCGCAATGGGTAAAGGGAAGGCAAGGGAAAAAATAACTTTCTTTTCTCGCCCTTCCCGTAGACCTCTTCGCGCCCACGGCACAACCCACTGAGCTATATAACTAACTAGAGATAAAGCTCAGAAAGCAGTGGATATGATAAAGCGACTGGGGACGAGTCTGGTGGAACTGAGTGAGTGTTTCGTGTCCCACGCGCAGCCAGCGCGTGATGAGTGGTGACCAAGTGATGACCAGCGATGATTTCCGGCTAGCTTGGCAAGAGTCATGAGGTAGGATTCGAACCATCGATTTTCCACTTGGGAGACCATTGTCCTCGCCATTTTACAAGGTAAACAATCGAAGATATTTATGGGCTCGCGACGTAATAACACGACGATTGCCTTCACCACTGGGCCAACAGATCTTAAAATCAACAGCTATATTTTTCTAACTTACCTAAATCTTCTCTTTTACGTAGGATTCGAACCATCAATTTGGAAGTTGCGAAACCATTGTCGTCACTCGTAGACTATTTGCTTTACCTTTTTTCACGTTTATAATGAAAAACACAATCCTTTCATAATTTAATCCTTCCGCTTAAATACGAGAAGCCTGAACTACGGCGCCATAGCCAAACTTGCAAGAGGAGCCTTTTTCCTCAAAGCAGGACAATTAAAGAGAATCAATAGATGGGCGTGTCACGCTGTGGATGCGATTCCAAAAGCCGAAGGCTTAGTATATATGACATTGCTCTATGCTGTGATCAGTGTGGGATTATTATTCGTTCCCTGCGACTGCGCTGGGTTTCTTTATTCTAAATATGACTTTTTATCGTTTTCCAATAGCGTTTAAGTATGTTTAATAACAGTAAACTGTAATTACCGTTTTTCCCTCACTGCATTTACTATAAGCTAAAACAGGTTGATTTAGTTAAGAAATTATGTGAATAAAGAACATTCTTGATTTAATGCAATGGTGCACATAGTGCAGAATAACCACGTGCACACATCACAGACGTAGATAGTTAAAGACAAACAGACAAGGGACATACAGTGACAGACATAAAAAGGCAGGGAAATACAATGGCAGAGAACTCGCTACAGCTTTCGCCAATAGACCTTTCTTATAATGACGTCAAACGCGGAAAGTCTGATGTTACACGGAATTTGATTGGCTCCACAAAACTATCGAGCTAATCAAACTTCGTGTAAAATCAGACTTTCCGCGTTTGACGTCATTATGAAAAAGGTCTATTACAGCGGCCCTTTTCATGTAATATGCTATGACGTCACAAATACTAATAATAACTACAGGATATTTGACGGGACAGGTTACGAGACTTGTTTCAAGACAAACATATAGATTTCCATGTTCTTGGGTCATCCTTATACACTGTTTCTAACGACGATTTCTAATAATCAAAAAGTCCCTTTTTGAACTGACTTAATGTGCATTGGTGTTATTGCCTGTTAATTAAGTCTTTCGGTAACGTATTCCGCAATCTGGTATACATGTATTTAAGTACGACTGTTGGAAGGTAGTAGTTTTGCAGGCGGTTTAAACAAATGTGAAACGTTCGGAATCGGATGAACGTGTTTCTCTGGGGCTGTTGATGAGGCAAAAAATCTTCATCAATGCTGAAAAGTCTATGAATTCGTTTAAAGAATAGTACCATGTCTAAGAATTCATGCCAGTAACTCAATGGAATGAGGTCCAATAGGGAAAGTTTCTGTCTGTAGCTGGTATCGCAGCGAAATAGTAGATCTATATAAGATATATTTCGTCGCTCGCCGTTGAACTCTTTCAATGTCTTGGATTAGACTTACAGCTTGTGGTGCCCAAATTTGCGATCCGTAGCATAGCTGTGTACGAACGAGAGTCAGGTACAAGGTTCGACGAACTAAACTACTCTTGATATGGAGCGTAATCTTGGGTCTTTTATTTTTTGTTCTTTACATAAACAACCTACCTGATTGAAAGCTTTTTCATTAAAGAATATTTTTATAATCATACCATATTCCGGTGTATTGGACCTTATGAAGTTAGAATATACTATATTCCGCTATATTGGACCATACCAAGGTCGAATATACCATATTCCGCGGTATATTCGACCATATCAAGATTGAATATACAATGCACGTTCGAGTATACCATATTCCAGTACATTCGATCATCGTGAGTGAACTCTAATAAATAAATGGAACGATACCTCCCCATTGGTTTTGTGAAGCCAAAATTCGCGGGACACGCGTGTCTGGAGGCTCTCTACTCCGCAGAGGTTTTCGTTTTGACTATTATATATGTTTTAACATGAAGTTGTAGAAGGAAAGCATTAGAGACCTTTAGTTTGACGTTTACGGCAAACGCCAAACCGCTAACAAAGTTTGTGTTTTAACTCCACTCTCCTTAAGTGTGCGGCAATTTCGCTAAATTACAAACGTTTTACATAGATCTTGTGATGTTCAGCAGTAATGTAAGAAAGCAATAGGCTATTTCTGATGTATTTAGAAAAGCAGCAAATTCAGCTTTGCCGTATATGCATGTTTCACGTTCGCCGTATAAAATTTAATGCTGGAACGGCTGAGGGTGTATGCAGTCGTTCAAGCATTAAATTTTATACGGCGAACGTCAAACACATACGGAAAAGCTGAATTTGCTGCTTTTCTAAATACATCAGAAATAGCCTATTGCTTTCTTACATTACTGCTGAACATCACAAGTTTCATCCAAAACGTTTGTAATTTAGCGAAATTGCCGCACACTTAAAGATAGTGGAGTTAAAACACAAACATTGCTAGCGGTTTGGCGTTTGCCGTAAACGTCAAACTAAAGGTCTCTATTAATTTTCAACGTGGGCGCGCAGCAAAATAGAATAGTGAGACGAGAAACCTCTGCCAAATAACGGTCGAAATAATGTCCAAATGGTTGAAATAATTCATAATCAAGGGCATAATCTCCGGTCAATAGTAGCGATATGACGCACGAGATCGACGATTTACGTCTGTAATTTATACGTTTTCTTAGTTTTTTTGCTTGTTAATATAAAATAATATTTAGTTAGTTTACTTTAATATTCTTAAAAAAAATATACTGAGTAAATTAACTTTGGATAATTTGAACTGTTTCTTAGGTGATCAACTCCCCCCGGTTTTTCCAGTCATTGGGTGTGGCTTTTGGCAAAGGCTTCTCTTCTATCCCTCATTTTCGTTTCGCGCCAGCGTTCCTCTTTCATGGGGTTAGCGGTTTCTTCGCATTAACATTTCTTAACATTTTAAAATTTTTGTTTTGAAAAAGCCTCTGCGGAGGAGAGAGGTCTGGCGGTAAAGTCCCGCGAATTCTGGATTCACAAAAACAATGAGGAGGTATCTTTTCGTAATAGGCTAAGTTAGAAATGAAAGGCAAATGGCAACGCTAGGGTAACCACATGATATGTCGTATCGACTTAAGTTACACATTCCTTGATTGAAGCGAAAGTTTTGTTACTAGTAACATTGAAAGATCAAGATGGTCGAAGTGTAGTTTGTGGTGAATACCGTGGCGGATGCCGTTCATGTTACATGACACCTTGAACACATTGTGTTTTGATTTCTTTCAAGTCGTGAAAGCAAAAGCTATAAGGACCAAAGGTCACAAAATCTTTTATTCTCCTTATCTGCTCCTTTGAAAAAATAATGGCGCAAGGACTGTTATTCAAGGGTTGTTGATGGTAAACAATGAAGCAGAATCGATGCCATCAAGGATGAGCCCAAACTAGCATGACTACCAAGTTTCAGTCTGAATTAATTATAAATGAAGAGGTTGCGCTGGAGATCGCTGTGCGCAAAACCAAGATAAGCAATGTTATATTTTCAAAAGTAAATAATTTCGCTTTTCGACTCGAGTTGCAGTCCAGGCTTTATTGAAATTTTAGCTTCAGTTTTAAGTCCAATTTCGACTCCAAAGAAACAAGATATGGAACAGTCCATATTTTGTACAATGTATACATATTTTGTTCAATTTTATTTTTAAGTGATAAATATGTCAATTAAATAACCAAGTCCCGCGAATTTTAATGCAGGTGAAACGTATGTCTGTGTTCAGACTAAAGAGAGGGATGCTTGAAAGGTTCATTTAGAGCAGAGGCGGCCAAAGACAATAAAACGATGAATAATATTGATCGATATCAAATTTCATATAAAGACAACAATAAATCTACTACATTAATTTAAGGTGCTTGAAAAACGTGTCTAAAATCTGGCATACTTTTCATCCAGTTTTAACTCCACAGTATAAAGTTTGATATATAAAAGTTTAATGATTTTGAAGTGAACACAAAGTGCGTTACTATCTATAAGCGGTCATTTTTCCTTCAACCAGTTTATCGCTTGAGAACCGTAGCCCATATTGTCCAAGAAATACGATTACGCCCCCAAGCCTTGCCATTCACCCAGGCGTGAACTTTGACTGTCCTGCTGCCTCGTGTCCAGCTCAGAGTTGCCTTGCCATTGCCACTACCAAAGCTTGCACCGTTCGAGCTATTATCGTTGTAGTAAAAGGAGACGTAAAAAGCATTGGCCGGTACACTATAGTAGAAATCTTTTTTCCTGCCAAACCAGCCCCTGCTTGATAAACTTCCAGAAGCCACCTTAACTTTAACTAGCCTTGCGCCTTCGATAGTCGCTGAAAGAGCGAGCAACAAAAGCAGCCCAAACGCTGACTTGTTTGCCATTTTTTAGTCCAAACTAAAGTTTAAA